ATTCCTGTGACACTTCTGTGAGAGGTTCCTTACGGTCTTCCATTCAAGCAATGCCTGTACGGACCGATCCACGGTTAGGACAACATTTGACCTAGAGTTTCGGAGAGTACTTCAAGTTCTTGCTCTCTGAAAGCATCAGCTGTGATGGGAAACTTCTAAGGGGAAATTTTATAGGGCAAAATCACATTTTAGCATTTCCATATAATCTTCATGGCTGATTGAGCTCTCCTGAACGACAGGGGATCTCTTCTGAAGTCACACATCCACTCAGAAGAGAGCTCACCCTCCCTGCCTCACAGGAAAAAATACCCTCTCCCCAAAATTCAGTTCACATTAAGTACTCCTGGTATTGCTCAGAGAGAGCTCACTCACCAGAAACCAGAAGAGAAGTGTATAAACCAAGTTGTTCTTTCTCCACTGTCCTGGCTCCTCTGGATTTTTTGCTGTGGGGCTTCATAATTTTTTATTATGTATTATTATTATGAATGTCTGCTGATCCAAACTGGAAGGGATCTTGTATCTTTACTCAGCTGAATGTTTTATGTGTTCCAGGCGTACCAAATGTGCGTGTGCATGCACAGATATACGAGTGTGTGTATATATGCATAAATCCTTTTATTTAATCAACCAAGTCTGTGCACACAGTTTTAAACCCACATGTTAAAAATCGGGTATTTGGTTTGGAAACTGAACTTGCAGGCTCAGACCACGGTTATTAAGCACAGCCACAGCACTGGATCAGAGAGGGGCTTTCTCTCTGCAAAACAAGCTACAGCAGTTGTGTTTGCTGAAGACACAAAATCACCCCAAACCCTCTCTGGCTTGAAAATCAAGCAAATTGAACTGTTGCTTGCCTTTGCATGGAAACCATTAGACATTGTCTTCTGTGTCTACAGGGGAATGCCTGCTCATGGCTGCTTCTCACTCAGGTCAGATCAGAGCATGGAGAGATGCTGCTGCCCAGCAAAACAGCAGAGGTGCCAAGACTGCAAGTTTTCTTATTTAGATGCATAGAATCACAGAATGGTTTGGGTTGGAAGGGACCTTAAAGATCATCTAGTTTCAACCCCCCTGCCATGGGCAGGGACACCTTCCACTAGACCAGGTTGCTCCAAGCCTCATCCAGCCTGGCCTTGGACACTTCCAGGGATAGGGCATTGGGATTGCCCCGATCCAGGTGTAGGACCTTACACCTGTCCATGTTGAACTCCATGAGGTTGGCAGTGGCCCACCTCTCCGGCCTGTCCAGGTCCCTCTGGATGCCATCCCTTCCCTCCAGCCTGTCCCCCCACCGCAGAGCTTGGTGTCGTCAGCAAACTTGCTGAGGGTGCACTCGATGCCATCATCCATGTCACTGACAAAGATGTTAAACAGCACAGGCCCCAACACTGACCCCTGAGGAACGCCACTCGTCACCGATCTCCACTCGGACATTGAGCCGTTGACCACCACTCTCTGAGTGCGGCCACCCAGCCAGTTCTTTATCCACTGAGTGGTCCATCTGTCAAATCCATGTCTCTCCAGTTTTGAGACAAGAATGTTGTGCAGAACAGTGTCAAATACTTTGCACAAGTCCAGGCAGGTGATATCAGTTGCTCTTCCCCTATCCACCAATGCTGTAATCCCGTCATAGGAGCCCACCAAATTAACTCCTTATTATCTGAGTCTGCAGACTCAGATAATTGCTGGACGTAACTCAAATCAAACCCAGATCAAAAGTATTAATGGAGCCTCATAAAATTCTAGTTACCTGCCAGCCCAGTGTGACTCATTGCTTTTTTTGGCTACGGGAGTAAATTAGCAGTAATCTTTCCTTTATTGTCTTGGAAAATGGCACTTGAGAAGGTTTTAAGCCAGGCTCAGTACATTCATTCACTGAGTTTGCAAAGCTGGTTTAGTGGCAATCATCTATCCCTTAAAACAGCTTAGTCCCACAGCCAGGAGTGATGAATCAGAGAAGCACAGTGGATTTGCTGTAATGAATCATACTGCATAACAAATATACTGAGTAACAGCCTCCTCAGTCTATCTTCAGATCTACGTGTCTTGACTAACTTATTTCTTGCTTGATTCTTGGGAATGGAGTTTGCTGCACTTTCATCCACCTCCATGGAGGCCTTACTCTAATGCTTCTCTCCATTCTGACCTGCTGGATGGAGCCCCACAGATGAACAATTATAGTGCTTAAAACTGTCCCCCTCACCCTGAACCATGGTGGTAATGGTGGATTTTGCATCTTCTCCCTCTGCACCATCCTCCAAGGTTATACTCCTTTGGAGTGGTTAAAAAGTGCAAAAGAAAGAGGATGAAGATGGAAGGGGGTAGGTCTAGTTAAAAATAGGCACCACCTGCCACTCAGGTGGATGCTTTCTGATTTCACAGACACTGGAGAGCAAAGGATAGAGGTTGTACCTGAATGGTGAGACAGGTAGAGTCCCTGTCACCCATCCCAGCAGCTACACACCCTGCAAGTAAGCTGGAACACACTAAACAAGCACCTCTTCTTAATATCCTTTATGCTGGGAGGTGGGATGGGAGATCCAAGGCACCAAGCAATGCGATACACAGTCTCTGCACCCCCAGGCTGGGCAAAGCTTTGCCAAACCTGAAGCATCTCCTTGGCTTCTTTGTCTCTTGCTGGCAGCTTCAGCGGAGAAACCAAGGAGCAAATAATGGGCTCTGGAGAACTTCTCTCCCCTCCCAGCCAGGCCTGAGGCCAGGCTGAGGAATGCCCTTGTGCTGCAACTTTCCTGGGGATAACAGGGGAATTCACTCTCCTAGGCTGTCAATCTTGCACCTTTTAACCAGCACTGAATTCACTTTAATAAGGGAAGGAGTAAAGCGATTTCTCATTTCACTGATAACCTGAACTCTGACTGAAAATAAAACCTCCAAACGGAAAATCCAGACACTAAAGCTTCAAGCCCAACGTGCAAAGATTCAATCCGGCTAAATCAGTAAATTCCCTCACGGTAATTAAAGGCACTAATTGATTTTTGAAAACATCCTCTGGACGGGAGCTGAACTGGGGGGATTTACAAGCCCTGCTCCTAATCCCCAGATACTCCGATCAGTCCAGTTTGACAGGGGAGCAGAGAGCTGCTGTGGATGAATGAGGGGAAACTTAAGATTTCATATTGTATATCTCTTCAAGGAAATATCAGTGCATTTAATGACCAATTTCTCTCTTCCCGAGACCAGTTCTGCAAGCTTCTGAGAGCACTTGGGTATGGCTTTGATGCTTTCCACAACCAGGACAAATGCTCTTCTCAGACACTTGCACATGAACCCTCTGAATTCACCAAAGCAGCATCAGTGGGGTGAGGAGAAAAAGGGATGCCTAATGAGGAGGAAGGCCCTTTACAGGGCAGAGACCAGAGCTCCCTTGGTGTTTCATCTCAGGAGACAGCCCTGGGGCTTTCAGGCATGATGGCCAAACAATGCTTGAGAGAGCAAGTCCATGAAGGCTGTGGGAAAGGTGGGAATTATTGCTTTCAAACCCAAAGGAGATTCACTCCTCTAAGCATAGTTACGACATTTATGTCTGGGTTTAAGAGATCAGTGACTGGTCCTGTTGCCATGCATAGCTACGGATCCAGTCCAATAGGGTCCAAAACATAGTCAAGATCAGTAGCAGTAGTAACTGCAGCTTTTAGGGATACAACTATATAGTTTAACCAGCCCAAATGGTCTGTAATACTACTCAGAGAGGGAGCATCCTGGTGCTGCAGGTAAACCCAGTCGAGCAGAGAGGAAAAAAGCTTGAACAATAGGCTTGAGACATGCATTTGTAATTAAAGCATGAAGTATCCGAGACAAGCTTCTGCTGAGCATTGGCAGCTGAATTTTGCTGGATTAAGCCAGGCAGTTTTGCCCTGCTAGCGAAGGCGGGATTCCGGATCATTTATGTTTGGACTATGCGGAGTTTGTCTGGAGAAAGGATGCTGCTCTGACCATCTCTCACTAGACTCCATGGAAATTTTGTACTGGGGTACAGAAGAGCTGACACACATTGAGCATCCAAGGTGTTATAATGACTGCACAATGCATTAATTGCAAGTCCACCGGCCCTCATGGTCTTAGGCCCTGGGAAGTAGCTCTGCACAGATCTATTCCTTAGTGAACACAATGCTTTGAAAGAACTTGTCTGCACCAAAGATAAACATGAACATACCAATCCTGCATTAGAAAAACATGGGAAGCAGTCCAGGCTCTCCATGGGATGCTTACCTGAAGATGCTCCACTCAGGCTCGATCCTCAGGATGGTTGGATCCTCTACATATTCATATTGCAACTCCTGATGTATCTTGGCCTTGTCCACTCTCACAGACACCTTCACCTTCTCAAAGCCTTCATCTGAGGCAGTGGTGTTACAGACAATGTGCTTGGTGGACCTCCTGTGAGCAGAAGCATGTAAATATAAACCCGGTGCTGCCAGCAGCAAATCACTGGTGCCAAAAAGAGCCAGCTACTTACCCTTATGTCCCCTGACCTCAACCTACACACTGTGAGGTGGTGAAACACCCTACAGGAATATGCTGTGAACAGCATGACATTCATCTGAGGAAGTGACATTGCCTTTTCACTAGTTTAAATAAAACCACAGGAGCCATCATTTCTCAGGTCTCAGAGTAAAAAGTGAACCCCAAGGGAAGGCCAAAACAGTCCTCTCTTCAGAAGCACTTCTGGGTGATTAAATACTTGATGGATGTTTCCTTCCTGCCTGCAGACACATGCAGCAGCAGCTCATAAAAAGGAGCATTTGCACCTCAATTTTCCAGTCTGGGATAATAAAGTTTACTTTGCATTAGGACCATAAACCTTGTTTCAGTGCAGTTTGCAGCATGCCGAGGGCCTTTGCATGGGAGGTGCTAATACAGTGAGAAACATTTTAGGATTATACTCAAAATGGGTGCTGCATAAACCTTTCCTTTCCAAAACCATCTCCAGGTCTGAATTTTGCAAGGGGCCTTACCTTCTATAAAGAGACACAAAGCCAGGCTCCAAACACCCTCAGCATCACCTTATACCCCTAAAAAAGCTAAAGCAAGATGCATCCTTCCCTTACAGCCTAACACTCACCTTCACTGACTGCAATACCCTCAATCCCTCTTTAAACTCCCAAGTCTCTTCAGCGAGTAATTCCAAACAGCTGTGGTTCCCACTTGGCCTTTTAAATCACAAGCTGTGACTTCACCCTCCTGAATTATAGATGTTGAATCCCACACTACAGTCATGATAGACAGCTATGCAGGATCCCCACAGCCAGGAGAGGGAAGGGCAATGCCCCAGGACAGTGGTCCCAGGTCCCTTGTGAATGGGCCCTTCTTCTGCCAAGGAGGCTGGGAGAAACGTGCCAACTTTATCTTCGGCCTCCGCCGATACTGGCAGCAAAATGTGTTTCACTGGGTAGTTTTGAGCTGCAGGAGCCCCTGGGAATGGGATTCAGGCTCATTCTCACAGGGATCAGGGAACATTCAGCAGGTAACACTGACATTAAGCCTCTCTGAACTGCAATTGAACAGGAGCCAAGCCAGAGCTGAAATGTTGCAAATCATCCATTTCTTAGCACTACAGGACTATTCTGGGATAAAAGGGAGGTGTTTTAATACTTAGAACTGATGTTGTCAGATTTTCTTTGTCATCTCTGCTAAAGCAGGGACATGAAAATGAATCTTTTAAACGACATACTCCCAGAGCAAGTAGCAAAGCATGGGACCGTGGAGAATTGTAGTGAAATTTGACAAGGGGCCATGGAAAAAAGCACATCAAATACCAATCAAAACAATGAAATAAATCCTATTCTCCCATCCCAAAACATGCACAGTAAGGTTGCGCATAGTGCAGAATGTGAAAGTCCGCTGCCGAATAGACGTGGCCACAGGCAAATGAGCACTTGAGGGACAGGGTGTCTGGGCTGTAGGAGAAGTCTCTTGACTGTAATTGCTTACATCCTTCAGACTCGGGCACCTAGAGTAGGAAGGAGTTATCTGTACCTGTAGAAGAGGCAGGGTTGTCGCCCGAAGGTCACGATGACATTGCTGCCCGCATTCAGGTTGTTGCCTGTAATTGTCACCTGGGTGCCACCCGACACTGGTCCCCGCTTGGGCTTGAGATCAGAGAGCGTCAGAGTCTGTGAAGGCAAAGGATCGCGTTTTAAAAACAGCAGAGGAGCAGAGGGAGCCCTCCCCTCTCTTTTTAGTGCTGGAGAGAGGTAGGCACCCCCAGGGGTTATGAGGTGTTAGCTGGACTTCAGAAGATGATGACCATTTCTTCTGGCCAACAGAGGAGCCTCGGATGCCACCAGTCCTGTCACAGATGCCCTGCTTGAATGCCAAGTTTGGTGGGATGAATTCAGACCCAACCCCAGTCTAGTCTCCTCAGCCCTGCAAAATCTGGCCTGCCCTTGTACCTGCTCAGAAATACTCTGTGCTTCCGAAGCCGATTCCACATCTGGAGCAGCTGAAGCCGTGATCTCTCATCTCCACTGCCCGTTTGACACAGCTCAGGTGCCTTTTTGCCACTGTGCAACACCACCTCTGCAAGATAACCCGGCTCTTGAACTGGCTGACTGGATCTTAATGGGGACTCTCCATCTCCAAAGCGCAGCACTCACAAGCAATGAAAACATTCAGGTCTTGAAAAGATTAAACCCTATTGATTAGGGAGCAGAACCTGCTGTATAGCTCCAGAGGGATCCCTAAAAACTGCCCCTGTGCTCACGGGCTTTTTCCCTGGGAAGGAGGAGAGCGGTGGCTCAGCAGAGCACCTGAGCTCATGTCTTGCCTCTCCCACACACTCACCACATGACCCCAAATCTCTGTCTCGTTCTTACAGACTCGGATGCTGAAACAGTCTAGTACTGCGTGAGTGTCCTGCACGGATACAGTGCAGCGGTGCTCATGTTGAGATGTACTCCGAAATACCACTGTCACCGAAGGAGCACTGTCCAGATGAACACCTTTCTCCATTTCCCTGCTGATTTTCCAAGCCTCTTTTCCAACGGTGCTGTGTTAATGTACCAAAAAGGGGCCCAATTCTTTTAGGGGCTCCAAATCTCAAACTTCTTTTCCTTACCCTCCTGCTCTGCCTTCTTTCCAAAATCAAGATAAAATACTTGCACTCTGAAGGCACAGATCACCCTGTTACCACAATGCAGAGAGGAGACATCCATTTTCAGGGAGAAATTTGGAGTTACACTTTATTCTTTCATTTGCATTTTAATAGAAAAACTTTCCACTCAGTCCCAAGTGAAAAGCTACTATATGCATTTAAATGAAGATTATTTTTTCCCTTCTCTTTAAGAATGATGACAAAAACGCTTGAAACTCTCTTCAGCTACTCTGAATGAGCAGGTACATCACGCAGTCACCTTATTGAGCTTTGGAGACCATTAATCTGTGTTTATAAAACCACCTGACACACACCACAGCTCCCTCTCTCACTCACACAGAGCCCCCTCTGCACCTCTCCCCCTCTGGCGAATCATTTTGAAAAAGAGTGGCAAGATTTCCACTTTGCTTGTGTTCAAAATGAAGCTGCCGCTTGGAGAAGGGGCTGAGCGTGAAAATTGGATTTATAGCTCAGTAGAAAAATCTGTTGTCAGAGCTGGACACTTTTTGTGTTTAAACTTGACTGGTTTTGACATGATCATTTGGAAACTGGCTTTATACTTTTCTGGAAATACTCTCTAACAGCTATTACTGGGATAAAAGATGAAGGAAGAGTATGAAGATGCAAAAGATGCAGTTCAGTGTGTAGTGTTCCCCTGTTTGTAGGCTACTGCCTCATGATGTGATGGCAACTCCTCTTTAATCCCTTATCGATGGTCACCCCCACCAGTGCGAATTACCGCTGACTGTGACAGCTGCTGCTGGGAGGTGACATCCCACCTGGGAGAAAATGGGTTGAGAATGGCCAACTTGGTGCACACATCTTGCACAACAGCACTGCAATAGTAGCTGCATTGCAAACCATAGCGGAACACTTGAGTTAAAGACCCAAAGTCCTTGTTCCACTCCAGATAATCTGTCCAAGCCCTTTTGAAGATCCTCACAGGCAAGAACTCCATCAGCAATGCTCCCTGTCAAAGTGTTGCTGTGCCTCGTGTCGATCTTACAGAAGGTATGGTGGCTAAGCTTTCCAAGTTGTGGTAAAACATTATTTATTGACAGTGGCCTTCTTCCCACCACATACTGCACAGCATGTTTGCAGTAGAACTCAGCCTCCAGACTGTTTACCATTTCCTTGCTGGGGAAGGGTGATGGAAAACGCAGGGGGTTCTAGTGGAT